GTTCACTGTTGAAATTTTAGCCTCGAACAAAAATTAATCTATAGTTTACTTAGTACTAAGATACTAAGATATCGGTTTACATTTTCGTCGGTTCCGTCAGCGGGCAACGACGGTGATGTAAACTGTATACATATAGTAGATACCGCGATACATCATCACCGGTACCATTAGTTATACATCGTACCCTGACTGTTTGGGGGTCCCAGCGTCACGTATACAATGTGAAACGCGACAAATAAAACGTCTCTGATTGGTGGATAAGACGAACCCAAAAAGGGTATAAAAGAAGCGTTTTTTCTTGCCGGACTCGTAGTAGAGTTTGGTCGCTCGATCGTTTTCGCCCATATACCTTCTCTCAATAAAGGAATAAAATAAAGTCCTTTTAAGCAAAGAATTAGAATCATATTCATTTTCATTCCATAATCCCAAAATTCACAATGATTTTATATTTATTACAATATGACTTTATATTTATTATAATATGATTTTATACGAATTATAATATGATTTGATATTTTTATTATAACATGATTTTATATTCATTATAATATAAAATCAGTATTGTTTAGAACACCGTAAGTAGTTAATTTCTTTTAATTTCTAAATACATACTTTTAAGCTTCGTACAGCACACTGAAATTCTCTACAAACATCGTTATAAATTCCCGCGGAGGTTCCCGTGTCGTTTAATTGTCCCCTCCAATTATTTGATAAAGTGCTGCTTACTCCGGAGGTAAATTATTCAGATATTTACCAGTAGATGTAAAACACCTTTCGCGCGGAATTAAACATCGGAATGCTCGGAGATTTAAACGCTGCCGTCTCCGTAGGTATTCCCGAGATAAATAAAATGCTCGCTGAATTCTGATGGCAATTTCTAAAAATGTTTCTCTTAATCCCCGTCCCCGTTCGTTAATAGTTCGCCCCGTTTAACCGGTGTTCCATTTAATCCTGAATTATGTCAGTCTTACTTTTAACTGCAATCTTTATTCCGGACACTTCAACGCCGTTCGAATAACGTCGTATTTTAACGAAATCGTTTGCTGCAAAGCGCCGCGGCGGCGCGTCGCGGCCCGACTCACGCCCTGGCATAACGGTCCGATCTTAATCCCGCGCTTTTTATCGTTACTCATGAATTCATGTTACTCGCTTATTAAACCCATTTAAGTATCAAAAATAAACGGAACCGCCGCCGGGAAAATCCATGGAAGTCGTTTCTCAAAATTCCTATTACCTTTGCGCTTTGAATTCAACAATTTATGCAATTCTTGTACGCCGTTTCTCGGCGCGCACCGTTGCAATCACGTTTCCTTCAGTGCATTCGGGATATACCGACTTTTTATTTATTTATTATATATATATTATTTACATTTATTATTTTTTATATTTTCATATTATCGGGATCTCGGTCTTCAAACATTGTAAGGGGACCATTATTGTACTATTAACAATATCTTAGGGTTTAGGTCAGGGTTAGATCATCGTTTATTACATTTATTATTTACGTTTATTATTTTAAAAATTCGTACATTATCGGGATACTCACTTTTTAACGATTTTAAGCTGACTATTAGACATTATTGTACTATTGACATTATCTTTGTTTGCAACGTGTTGCCTAAGCGTTTTAACAAGATCGAACCAAGAAAATATCAAGTCGTTATCAGAAATTAAAAAAATTAGTTTCCGCCTTTTCTATGTCTCGAGACGTGAAAGTTTTGAAAATGACAGATCAAATATTGTTAAAAAGGAATGAATATCTTTGATTTCATAGTGTTGTTTTCAAGTGATGAGTAAAATTGTGGAACACAGGTAATTAACGCACTTATTCTCTACGATGACAAGGAACCGAAACGCGTGGAAATCTCGCTCGAGAATCACCGACGCGAAAAGAAAACCGCGTCTGAATATTCTCAAAGGTTTCCTGCGGCTGCGGTACGGATTTCTCTTGGGCAAAGGGTTAATCATGGTATCGCAAATGGGGAGAAAAAAAATGTGGGGATCGGATCGTGGGTGTTAGGAGAGGGGATATATCCTATCCTCGGCGAGAAAGAGAGAGAGAGGGGGGATGGAGAGGAGAGAGAGTGAGAGAACCGTTCTCTTCTCGAGGACGCACGTACTGATTTTCTGTCATGAATATTCAGAGGCTTAATTCGCGATGAGACCGATCGACGCCGATACATCGTTACCGGCGATAGCACGGATTAAACGATCGGGCCTGGTTCTTTCGACACCCGGCGTCGGGGCTCGTTAATCGATCGCATCGCGCATAAACTCGTTACGCCGCGTTACAAGGGACGTAATCAACGGGATCACGGTCCGTGTCGCGTCGTGCTGACACGGACCACTTTTCCGAAACCCAGCCTCGTTTCCATAGAGGTCTGGTCGTCCTCAACGTTTCAAGAAAATTTCGCTTTCATCGTAACGGTTTCCTTCATTTTCACTGGACTGCGAATTTTGATGCGTTCACGAAGAAAATTGGTAGGCGTAACTTGAAACAATGAGAGAACCAAAAGAATTATTATTATTTAAGATTAATTGATATTATTAAAATTAAATTATTATTATTTAAGATTAATTATTTCTACGTGATTTCTGTTTTTTTTTGGTTCTTTTTAACGATCGAGACTACAATTTTTATTCCGCACAATGATCCGCTGTCTATTTATCACTGTTGTCATTTACAAGCCTTTTTAATCGTCGTGGCGTATGCGAACTGTTTTGCTTCGATTTAATCGTGCTCTTTGTTATTTATTTTGTTCCCAAGTTGTGAACATTTTCTCAAATTGAATGAATTTCGGCACGTCTCGATTTTTCTTGAGAAACGACACCTGTGTTCTTTATTTTGGTGTATTGCTTCTGGACGATGTCATTTAATAACTAGTATGTTTATATTTTGCATAAAGTTGATTGCTGTTTTCCAGAAATTACCTAAGCACCGTCGTCCAGAGTTGCTAAAAATGAAGCAGAATCTCACCGTCATATTAAAAGAATAAACATGGTTATTGCAGGATTTTAGACCGATCCAGAAGCTATTTCGAAGCCACCTGTCCCGGGGCCCGCGGAAGGGTACAAAGCGCGAACCCATCGAAAACGTTGGCTCGCCTCCGTAAAAAAAACAGGGACGAATGGGTGATTTCGGTTTCTCGTAGCCCGGACCGCAATGTGTCGGTGGGAACTCGTGCCGACCCCCCTTGAACTTTCAACAAATTAAAATACACTTCCTCGCCTAATCAAGCGCAAACGAGGCTGGCATGGTCTGACCGACCCACTTCCCTTTTTCACCCCAGTTGCCGTATGCGCGTTCCCAATAAAATTACAATATCCGTTCACGTCCCTTATCCGTTCGCCAAGGGCCGGCATGCAAACGACTCAATTAGAGGCTCCGGCTCGAAAGGAGTAACAAGGAAATTGAAAGGAAGAGGGCTGGGTACACCCAACCCCTTTTGTGCGGGTGGTTCTCGCCCGCGGAGAACAAAATGGTGGACGCTACTGGAAATCTTTCGTTCAACCGTCCGATTGTAAGTTCTTTACCAGAAAATATCACTTGATCAGCGTCGTATGAATTGAGTTTTTTGTTCGCATAACTCTTACCGAGATCTATTGAGTTTGTTAGAGTAACAGTGGCGTAAGCCGCATTTTCGAAAATTTTTACTTACATTTTAAGATGAAGTATAAATTATAAAGTTATTATAGATTAACCCTTTACAGTCGAGTGGCGACTCTAGGACACCACTAAACATTCTCTGCGCTAGGAAACCAAATGTATAGCAGTGCATAATGGTTAATTATTATTAATAGTATAAAAATTTAATAATGATATAATTGCAAATTCGCGTTATATAAATTATTGTATTTTATTTAAGTTTATTTTAGTATATCCTATTTTATTTCAGTTTATTTTGTTCTATTTTATTTTATTTTATTTTATTCAATTTTATTTTATTGTAGAAAATCTGGTTGACAACATACTGATTAAATAAATTACCGTGTTCTCAAATTATTCAGGTGTAGTAGAACTTCGATTGATCGAACTGGATCTTCCTGAATCTTTATTATTTAGATTTTGGATTATTTCAAGTAATAACGATGAAACTATGGAAGAACTTCGATCAAACCTCGATCCATCATCTTATACTATTCTATTAATTATTCATCGAAAATAAAGAGAAATTAACTATTAATTTCGAATTCGGATAATCGAAGTTCTACTGTGCTCGTTCATCTATCAACACGTTATACAAGGTGTTCCATAATTACGGTACTTCCGGAAAATGAGGGGTCCCTGAGGTCATTTGAAGTAACTTTCTTCTTTACAAAAATGTTCTCCGCGGCTTTGTTTATGATTTATTAACAAAAAACATTCATCAATAAGTGGCGAGCTCGACTGGCGCGGGGCGGCTAAGCCAATCAGCGGGGAACCCGGATTCGTGCGCTCGTTGGCTCGGCCGCTTCGCGCCAGCCGAGCTCGCCCCTCATTGGTCAGTGTTTTTCGTTAATAACTCGTTAACGATGCCTCGGAGAAAATTTTTGTAAAGGAAGAAGTTGCTTCGAATGACCTCGGGAATCTCTAATCTCTTGGAAATACCATGATTTTGGGGCACCCTGTAGTATAATGATCAAACCGGGCGACATTAACACTATTTCGGAGAAAACAATAGAACGGATTCGACTCACCTCAACGTGGCAGGACCTGTTCCCAGATCGAAGGTGAACTGCACGTGTCCCGAGGATAGATACAGCGCTATGAAGTCGCCGGTGGCGTCGCTATGGTGGCCGTTGTAAAGTATAACACCGTCTGGTGCGGTCGGTTTCAATGTGACAGCCAATTCGAGCCAAGATAGCGACGTATCCGCCAAACCCGGGTACCGAAGATAAGAGGACCCGTTGAACGATGGTACCTGTAACCCAAAGAATCCATCGAGCATGGTTATCTTATGGTGCTCTAGATTTTCGGAAAGTTCGCCCGTCGAAAGACGCCCGTGACCGACGTTCCTGGTGAACGACCGGTGATTTTCTCATCTCTTTGCAGCGATAGCGACAGACTGCTCGAGATACGATTAAATACTTTCGCGCTGAAGACATTCTGTTTTCTTCAGCAATTTTCTAGTTGAATAGTCTTTTTTTTGCAACTGTGATCATTAGACTGCGGACTTAAGATTACGTCAAGGTTATTTCGAGGAGACAACAAAGAGGAGATAAAGTATTGGTAAGTTAAGTTGGAAACACAAAAGAAGAAAAGAATATTGTTTTTCCAACAATTTTTTTATTGGATGGTTTTTTTGCAACTGTGATCAGTAGACCGTGAGTTTTATGGATTTCGTAGCAGAAAATGGGCAGATTGAATTGGAGACAGTAAAGAGAAAAGTATTGAAAAACAGTCACGTCAATTTGAACTCGTTGAAATGATTAAGAAAAGAAATGAATGTGTATGCAGTTCCTGGAGCTTGTAATAACTGCAGTCAATTTTTAATTTGCATTAGTGATAAGAATGTCTTGTGATCATTAAATTGAAGATATGAGGATGTATTATCTTAAATTGTTTCAAATTATTAAAGAAAGAGAGAGAAAGAAGTAATTTTTATTTGGCCCTTGTTTGTTATAATCGTTGAAAACAATTTTTGTTTGTCTTGCGATTGTCAACGATGATTTTAGCGTTCTTGATATAGCTGACTAAAAATCTCCATTTTTAAAGATTAGTTTACGAAAACTCGAATGAGGCAATCATTTCTTTTTCTCAACAAGAAAATTGCTTGCGGTAGACATGAGAAGTAAAAATACTCGATTGATCTTTATTTGTGATTTTTATTTATTGAAGTAGCTTGGTAGTGTAGACTTTCACGATAAATATTACTTAACCTGCTTAATTTTCATTATTCTTGCAATTGATGATGTTCGAAATCAATTGTTCGCATTTTTATTAAATTGTATTCAAAGTCCTCGCAAGTCTAACACAATGCGAGAAGCAAAAGGATGAGTGTGTCAATGTTTTAAACGTTGGTACACATTACCGACATATTATTTTAATATCTCGATGAAATTTAATGCAATGATATTCCGACAACACAACTGACCCGCGGCCCAAAGCGAAAATTAAACAAAAGTGACAGAACGACAGTAGGATGTAATGAACAATATTATAGTATACGCGACGGTTTAATTCGAATAGTATGAAATACAATTATTAAAACAGGTATGATCCCAATGATATTCAACCAGAGAATGATGGGAACAAGCGACATAAATATTAGTAACTATGAAGAAAGTTTGGTGGCGCTACATTGAACCGGATTTCCGAATAACATATCTTCGATAATAGTATTCCAAATATTGATACGTTGAAAGTGATACAATTTCTATGGCCTTTACATAGTCTATTAACAATGAAATTGTAGTTGCCGGAGCAGCGTTGCCATTGAAAAGTGGAAACCATATTTTTATGAAATGTTTCGATTGTTCATTCTTTCATTTAAACATTGCTGTGCGCAAAAAAAGAGCGCAGCAGCGAACGTATCGATGTACGTGTATGAATAGATTGTACATGTATCAGAAAAGTTTGATTTGAGTCATTGTTTTACGAATATTGAATGTTCGGGCTAACATCATATTCCGGTAACATTGTAAAACTCTTTGTAAAATACATTTTGATATTCAGCAATAAAATACTAAAATGTGAAATGTAGTTAATTTAAAATATCAATTGTTAGTCGATTTAAAATATCAAGACATTGACGAAGAACTTTCTGCAATAATTTCTGAATGTAAATTGCTTATTTATAAACTGCAAAGTCACTAATTTGTAAATTGTAAATTACGAATTTGGGAACTTTAAATTACTAATTTAGAAACCGTAAATTACTCATTTCGAAACAGTAAATTACTCATTTCGAAGCTGTAAATTACAGAATACATTTCGATAATTGTTCGAAAAAACAGATACTACGTATTTAAAGTGTCATTAAATCCTGTACGATTACGAGCAGATTGCGTATACTAGTGCAATCTCTAGCGTCTACATACACGTTTAAAATTGCAGGTAGAAATCCGAATGAAATGAAGCAAACGTTACGAACCGAAGTAAAACGGAACCGACACCGCAGACAAAAATCTGAAAGGAACTATATTTCCTCGAGTTTACTCAACTGACTTTACTAATCTCAAAGGTGGAGATAAGAAGCACATTTAAGGGATGTTCTCACCCTTTGAGCATGGCCGATATCCGATGAAAAAAATACATGAAAAATACTATTCCGAGAACTGCATCCACAAAAATGCAAGGGTTACTTTAAAGTGTTGTAACTTCGCGAAAGAAAGTCGCAGCCGCGTTTCTCATTTTTTAAATTAAAGGGGAAGAATTGAAATTCATTCGACTGTAAACGGCATCTCCGCGAACAAAATTTTACAAAGTCCGCGAATCTCGTTAAATTTGATAATTTTTAATATGGCAAACGTGGCCTCACATTTAAAGGATTACAGTGGCACAAGAGTGCGTCGAGCTTAAAATCGAGGAAGAGTGTTTTAAAGTAGAGATTTGAAGCTTTAATTTGAGAGAAAGCTGATCATCCTGGGATGATCTTTCGCGGAGTTATCGTCAGGCGAATTTGGCCAATTTTTATACGACTTCTTCGAGCAGTATGGTTTCTTCGCACGATGATCCCAAAGTAAGTTAAACGAAAACGCAATTTACAGCAGGATACCCTAGAATTAATTGACGCTAGAATTAAGGGGATAAGACTGGACTGAATCTAGAGGACGGTAAACAAGAGCCGCTCGATCGTGCAGGTGTGCAGGTGGCTTTATTTCCGACGAGAGGTGTCGCCGGAGCCAATTGCTCGAACCTGCTGTATAAATATCGTTACTCTCCCGTGTAATATTTCGAGGAGAGATCCGGTGCCGTAGGATCGAGCTCGTCGATCACGGAGTCCGCGAGGAAACACCATAAATCGGGCGATATCTCACCGGCGGAACGAGAAAAATCGTCGGGTGCCGACGAGGCCGTCGCGACGACATTATTCCCCCCCGGCCGGCCCTTATTTTCCCGGGCTATCTCTTCGGCGTCAATTTCCGAAAATGACGTAGTTACCGAACAGGAAGAGGCCGGCCGACACGGTGCTGATACACCTCCACTAAATTAAAGCCATGCTTGTTCGCCGCGATCGGTGCTATTACGGCACTCGCATAAATCCTGTCGAGCGAGCGCGGAACGCTAACGCCTGGTGAGACGAACGGGAACAAGTATAACACAGTCGCCCAGTGATAAAAATGAAATTGTATCCCGTCAGGATAAATCGGGAATCCACCGGTGCCGTTCGGCAATGATGAATATAATTCCGCGAGCGTGTCGCGGGTGCGACGCGCGTTTTCGAACTGATTCGTTTTATAAAGGCGGAGAAAGAGCATTATCAAGCGGGCGGAAAAATTCGTTTCGAAAAGGTGCTCTTGAGAGAAGCGATTCCGATGTTTGTTGCGCGAGTGCGCGCGTTTTTCGGAATAATTTGTTCGGTTTGTGTCAGCAAGTCGTTCGTTGCTTGTTATTTAGTTTTTGGCGTTTCCGGTCGGAGGACTTTAGCATTGCGGAGTGTTTCTGATTTTTATCGCGCGTTCGAAAAAATTGGAAATGTTTCGCAGCGTTTGGAATATTTATGCTCCGCGAACACGCGTGCGTCGATGATTTTCTTTCGAAGCAAGATTTCTTTGGCGTGCTCCGGCCAGAGAAATTGTGCTGTCATTAATCGTATAGAAACTCGACGACTCTGTCGTGGAACGCGCACGTTTCAGATTTGCATCGTAAAATTCGTAAGAAATATTTTAAAGAAGTTCCATAAACGGTTCACTTTCCTTCGTACGTAATAGAACTCATTACAGAAGCAACAAATTTTTGTTTCTAATTCTCATAAATTCTTCTGTGAAATGTTGCAGAATGATCCACGGTTTACCGATTAGCAACTAATTCCTACCTCTTTTTTGTGAATATATGTATGTGTTATACTTGTACATGTGACAATACATTTAAGAATTAAAAATTAGAATGCGGATTTTGTGCATGTATGAGAAAAGTTGGTAGGTGGAATAGAAAACGGTGAATGCAAAAGATAAAATTAACAGTGTGCTGTCAGATTGTTTTTAACTTATTAAAAGTTGTCATGAATGGAAATAAATTTTCGTTTCATTCCTATTTATTGCGTTCGCGGTAGAGAATTTTTGTTTTGCACGAGGTTATCCAGCGATAACTGAGAAAGTAAAAGAGAGAAGTTCAGGCTTTTCGATGTAGAGGTTCGAAATTTTACAGAATTGTATTA